CATGACTTTAAAAACAGATTTCCAAAACAATTTCAGTTTTAATAACTCTGGGTGCTAATGAACTTTCTAGTAAGTATGGTGTTAACTACTGATTTTCCCCATCAGGTTAGACAAAGAAATTATCCAGGCAGATACAAATCAATTTTGCTTTCAATGTAATTGCACCCCTTGCTGCATGCACCATGATGATTGAGCTACAAAGAGCAACAAAGGAACATCACATTAAACAAAATCCATTCTTTCTATAATTTCATGCCAGCATTTTTATCTCCAACCACCAAGTGAAAATCGTACACAAAGCTGATGTAGCAGTACACATTTAAATAAACAGGCTTTCCTCTAGCAAGAGTTCAAGGAAAGCAAAGATTTTTTCAAACCTGAATTGGCAGTAGTTATCATCTGAAGCCAAGTACTCCTGCCTTAGTATCTTGGGACACTCAAAACTGTGAGTTCCAAGTGGCATGCTCAAGTTCAAAGAACAGCCATTGAAATACATTCTGGATCATGCTCCAGAGACAAGAGGGAACTCTGAATCTGTCATGATACTATCAAATGTTGTAGGGATGAGCAGAGTTATAAGAAGCTAGGGTGAGGAAAAGGGTCTCTCTTTCCCCTCACTAAGCTCTTGTGCCAATCTTTCAGAGGTTATGAGACTTGGCCATGGTGCCTTTACCCTACCGCAGTGCAAAAGAGCACAGGCACCTGCACATCCTCCACACTCCTGGGACTTGCGATTCTGTACCACCAAACACAGCTGTGCTCCTCATTCACTCCTCTTTAAGGGTCCACATGTCCATAGAAACCCCACTCAAAGCAGTTTTGTTTTGCTCCAGCACTTTATCAGGGAGGAGGAGGTACAGTATGAGTCTGAGATGAGAAGAGGGAACACAAACTGCCTCCACCTTCTCCTGTTCTCCACTAGTCAAACAGATGCCACAGAGCTATCACGCCCAGCCCTGACAAAAGAAAGAGGGGATGGGAAAGAAGAAAACAGGCAAAGTGGACAACACAGGGCAGAATACAGGGCCAATTGTGTGGAGATTGTCGTATCAGAACAGTAGCATCTAATATGTTACTATTTGGTGTTGCCTGGTATATCTGTACATTAAGTACTGCAGTACTACCATGATACTGGAAAACAGTCCATGGCTATACTCCAGAAGTTCTGATTCTAATCTCTGTCTCCTGTACCACACACCCTGTAATGCAAACACAACTAGTACCCTTTGAGAACAGTGTCTGAACACCTGTGCTCATTAAGGCATCTTTCAGAAAACTGAAACAACCAGCTCTCTACATTTTACCCCTGAACTACACTTAAAAAAAAAGTGTTTAACCCATGTACTCAGAGGTAAGAAAACAAGCAACTTACCATCACTATTAATAGCAGAATTACAGCTATATGTATGAGTAAGAGATAATTAATTCCAGAGACTTCAATCAGAATAATCCAAAGACATTCAGAAAGTAGAAAAACAGAGCACTACAGTGGGATTCGTTCAAACACTCAACAGCTTTCCTCGGGAAAGCTCTGAGGTATGAACACTCCCCGCATTTGAAATGATCTCTAAAATCCATACTGGAGGTTTGTTTCCTCTTTGCTCAAATTAGCTTTTATTCCTACAGAGTTCTACACAGCCCTGAGCAACTACCAGGATCAGAGAAAAAGTGCAGGGCTTGAAACAGCCCTTTATCTCTACAGTCATCAGTACATCACATTTCTAGTGAAAAGGATTTAGGGAGTTAACGAAAAAAGTTCTTAGCAGTCACGCACCGATATCACAAAATCAAACATGATAAAACAAGCGCTGCTACCCACAAGTGATGAGAAAACAGATGCAGTGGGCAGGAATGACAAGGCTGAAAAAGCAGTGGAAGTCTCCAGCTAGGATTGAAGCATGCTGATAGGATGGGTGTGCAGTCTGGCAGCCACTGGGAAGGGGTTATAAGTGTCAGGGTAGGTATGTCCTGGAAAAAGTGCTCTAGAAAAAAAGAATAAAGCTATAAGTCCTCCTACACATGATGCTAAGGTTCATTAACTGACCACCACTGAAGAAATGTACAAAGGATGTAAGCTATGTGGTTATTAACTCTCACTTTCTCAGAAATTTTCAGAAATACTCAGAAAATTAGCCTTCTGTGCTGTTTTTCTTCCTTGAGGACAGGGGGAGAATGTTTAAGAGCTGCTTTGATCAAGACTTAAAGTTTGTACCATAAAGGTCCAAACTAAACTCTAGACCATCTGTGGGACAGCCTACACTAAATGCAAACAAAACTTTGAGCAGAGATGAGAAAAACTGCACCAGTACTGAAGATAGCACTCAATTACCAGAATGTAAAAAGAACTCCAAGAAAATTCTGAAACTGAAACCACCAAAAGTATTAATTCCATATACAACATATATCAAAAAGACAAGAAAAGGTTAAACATGCAAAATACAAGTCACTGCTAAGTCTGAGACTATACTATCCACCAACAGGTGTGGATAACATTACATTAATCCTGGAAGGTTCTTAAGTCATTTGAGTCACCATTAAAACACGAAAAACTTACGTTCCTAAAACAAAGCCACTATTTTGCAAGCCAGAGTAAAAATATTACATTTAATATTTGTTATAATCACTATTATTTAAAACAAGTTATCAGTTTCAGTTTGGACAAAACGTTATGTGCAGCCTGTCACTCTTCCAAGGAAATAACTGTGAAAGATTAATAATCTTCTAAATCTTGCAGTGCTAGAAATATGCAGGAGCCCATCTACAAGTGAAGGATTCTCCGAGGATCCCCAATGGAACATCTACAGCACAACCACAATACCAGGAGGGGAGGAGAACAGCATAGCTGGGAACAGGGAGAACAAAGTTTTAATAGAAATTATTAAAATCAAGCTTTCAAAAAGCTTCATTGTATAAATATTAGAGCACTTCCTTCTTGTGCATAAAAGTAACTGTCTGTTCCCTAAGACAGTTTTTATGAATGAGGGTCATCCACAAAGAGACAGGACTATAAACATCAAATAGACAAAATAAAACCATCCTCTTAATTCTGAAGTAAGCTGTATTTCATAGGTCAAATAGCAGGAGACTGGTTTTATATTAGATCTAAGGTAATATAGATGTCAAATAACATTTCTCAGGCAATATGTAGCTGTGAAGAGATATCAAGAAAAGCAGAGTGAACACCTCCACAGAAAACAATTATACAGCTAAGAACACAGAAGGCATCCTGATATCCTGGCAGACAGGTTTAAAGCTGAAGCAATCTGAAACCTCAGAGACAATCTAGCTTTGCTCAGATTGTGTGAGAGCTTTCCTGTACCTAATGAACAACTATAAAGATGTTTTATGTTAGTTATAGGTAAATTGCCTTTTTTACTCTCCCTTATTACTTCCCAATTTGTTAAAACTTATTTTTAATTAGTCACTAAAATGCAAAATATAAACATGCTTCTAGTGTTTTAAGATAATAAACAGCTGTCATTAATGGTCAGTGATGTTCTGATATACATACATTAATTATGTCTGTGTTGGAAAAAATAATCAATTATGATCAAACAATTATAAGTATTCAGACACAATACTATAGATGAAGATGATAAAATACACAGGTCTATGATAAAATAAACATGGGGAGTGACCCACTGGGACATAACATACTGTCACTCCTCTCTGCTAATAAATGTTCGTCTACAGCATCACACTTCCTATTCCTCTGCTGGGTGCAGGTTCCCATGAACAAAGTAACAAAGTCACAGCCAGTCTCTTCGAGACAAAGTAATCTGTGGCCCTGTATCTCTTCTCTCCTGGGAATTCCCTTGCTTCTTACCTTAACTAACACTTTCATTTCTCCTGCTTTCTTATTAGGAAAAGCCATCATGTGAATAAAAACCAAGGAATTAAATGCATTTTTGTAAACATTTGTAAGAATTTAAAATCAAAACAACAGTGTCTTCAGGTAGCATGTGGCTGAAATAATATAAAAACAAAGCAAAAACCAACACTTAAGGACAACAACACACTTTGAAAACAAAAATACTTTAGTAACTCGAAGATGACAGAAGTATCTGTCTTTTAACACATTCTACGCTAAGAAAAGGAAGACTATTTTCAGTAGGTTTATGTAGGTGCATTCAAAAATTTGCACATCCTTGGAAATTATTAAAAATATCACAATTTTAAAGGAAGCAAATACAGCATCCCCTTAGGCTGAGACTGTAGTTTTATGATACAAGGAGTTTGGTGGAGATTACAGCACAGGGAATTCCCACCTAAGCCATGAACTCCTGTCTATGTGTCCTAGAGCATCAGCTCTTCTGCTGGATCAACAAACATATTTCTAGAATTATGCCATGAACCGGAACAGTTACCTAATCTTGCTCAAATGTAACCTGCAAGCACTGGTCCACAAACACCTGTATTACTCCTAACTGAAGAGGAGAGTGGGGCAGTTAGAACTAGGTGAGAATAAAAGGTAACAACTTAGTGAGCACTGTCACTTTTCATATTGTAAAGCAAACAAACAAACAAAAATAAACCCAACCTGTATACTGTGAGAAAAAAACCTTTTCCAGTTGTTAAAGATTATTATTGTAGTAATTGCCCATAATATCCATTAAATTGTTTACCTATGGGCAAGCCAGTGCTGTAAATATATTTAATTTCACTGAATCCTTTTAATAATGTAAGTAATTGTAAATTGATTTTCTTACTTCTTTATATAATTGCTTCCCCAGAATCTGTAGCTATTTTAAAAATTCTATCCTACTTACAATTTATGCTTATGGCTTGTTTTCACTACGGGAAATTTTTTTGGCCAGGAATCCAAATTTAACCTAGATTAAATCCCTATTTCAGCTAAACACCCACATAAGCACATCTCCCTACCAAGTGCTGGACAAATCCTAACCCTTATGCTACCTACCAAGGTGTCACTCACCAAAATTAGTAACGCCAGTTTCGTGTAACAAATATATGCACAGATTCATAACCCATTCACTTACCACTCTCATCAAGTAGGTCCTCCTCGTCATCCCCATCGTTGTCCTCCTCCATCGCCTCCTCCTCATCTTCCTCCTCCTCCTCTTCCATATCCTCCTGCTCCAAGTCCGGGTCCAGGTCCGGATCACTCCCTGAGATTGACTCGTCTGACATGATTCCCAGTGGTGCTCCTTGTGCATTACCTGCTCATGTTCTACCGTGAGGCAGCCCTGCAAGAAAAGAAGAGAGGTACATAATGAGCCCAGTAAATACCAATCGTTGAGTCTCAAGGCTCAAAATCATAGCAGGATTACTGCATATAAAAACAAAAATCTGCCATCAGTCTTTTAAATAACAGTTATATCAGACTGCACAAAATCCCGTGTAGAAAATGGATGCCATAAGCAATGTATCATGATGATATAGGTCCAGCATTGTAGAATCAATATATTAACTAATCATTCAAAAATCCACCTCTTTCTTGGTATCCTAGACATGTATACAGCAGAAAGATTCCTAGTATCAATGTCTGATTATATGAAGATGCAAAAATAAATGAATGATGTGAACAATTTCATAACACTACCATCCAGACATGAAGCATAGAAAAAAGGATCAGACTCAGAATCCCATATGGATACCTGTTACCCTGATCCCTGAGCACTGCAAACACCATCGCAGTATGCAGACCGTGGGCTGCAGACAGACACCACCCTCCTGACTTAGCTGTACCCACTGCGAAGGTCACCCAGCACTCATCACAGCCTGTCTGAAGTCTCCGTTCCAACCAACAGAACAGAGACAGCCTTACCTTAATAACAGTACAGACAGAAGACAACAAAGATCCAGTTTTTAAAGGTTGTATGTCCCTTTGTAAAGCAGGGTAAGAAAAAAGTAAACACAAAGGAAGGATGGATCAGAGAGAATTTGCATTTCCTTTCTCTAAAGGACAAGAACCAGAGCTGGCTGTGTATAACTCCTCTGTTACATTACTCCAGTGCACCACAGCAGAAATCACGGCACAAAACAAATCTAAGGCCTAAAGAGAGGGCCAGGACAATCACAAAATCACAAGTTTTGTTGTTCAGATCATGCACTGTCACTTCTGGACGGTCCTGGCTACTCCTGGGTACTCTCCTACACGAAGAATTATCATAAAGTTGCTGTGTAAGATGGATGAAAAGAAAGAAACATAACCAAGAAAGGACAATAAAGAAGGCATCTTGATCTTAAGGAACATAAACCAAAGGATGTGTTCAAAAAAATCAAGCCTCAGAAGAATTACTACCCACACATTCCCCAGAAAGCTTTAAAGAAAGATGAGGGAAACATTTCCTAGTCACTCATTTTCCACTGCCCCCTGCTTACACCACATTTCCAGTGTAAACTATGAAGTGCTTGAGAACTAATCAACCACTTTAAAAACAAACAAACAACTTCTAAGCAGATAAGGCAGCATACATATCTACACTTTAAGAAACAGAAAAATTACTGCTGAAACACAGCTGAAAATGAAACTAGATGAGCTCAGAAACTTGAAGGTTAAAGGCACAACTCAAGCCCCCTGTAGCAGGGTTGAAAATCTAACTGTCAAGTATGCTGAATTATTTCAGCTGAAGTCATCAGTTCCTACTTTCCCTCTCTCAGCTCCTCAATAACACTGAAGAGTGTCTGAAAGAAAATAAACACAAGGGAAGAACAGGCTTTGAGGAGATTGGTATTGGAATAGGAAGCCTTTCACCACTAGGTCCCAGGGAGCACTTTACCACCAGGCAGAGACAACTGAAGTCACTACACTATTACACGTCACACAAATTAAGTTGGCTTAGTAAAGCAGATGGTAGAAAAGGCCAAAATCTAAATTAGCTCAAGTGGAACTGTGCCAGTTTGCACAAGCCAAAGACATTCATACAGCTTCTGTGGTCTGCTGGTAGGCAGGTACTATGTCCTGTTGCTGTCAGCCTGCTGCAAATCGGTGACCCACGGGCACTGCAAGGTCTGGGACTGCTTACTTTCTGATGTCTGGTGACTTCTGTCAGGGACTGCAGACACAAAGTCATCTATTATCAGAAGGTTTTCTTAACAAATGCTATGCTAAAGCCTATGTGTATTTCAAAACAGTGGCTTATTTTTACTTTTAAATAGCAACAATGTTCCCTTCCAGCTGATACTCAGCCCTAAGGAAAACAAACATTGTTTTACTCTTTACAGGTTGTACTCAAACCTGTGACCATAAAGTCATATGTGTTTCCTTACCTTTCAGGAGGAGATGGTCAGCAGTGTTACCTTTGTGGATCTGTGCTGGTCACTTGGGATTTCAAGGGGATTTATTTATTTCTGTGTTGTCCATACTGTGCTATAAAGCATTTCTCATGCTATCTGCTGGAAACTATATCAACAGAAGCATATAAAAAATTTCCATGTTTTACTATCCCAGCAAACTAGGCATCATCAACAACAACAAAAGAATACAAACACAACTAAAAAGGCAGGAATTAATTCTCATCTACAAACGGGAAAAGCAGAAGTTTTGTAATGCCACAAAATGCTCCAGGTCAAAGAATGACACATGATACGGTTTCTCCCATCAGCATCCTCCTGTGTGTCATCTCTCATGTTTCATCATTCGTTGCAGAACCTTAAAAAAACCCCCAACCAACCCACAGAATACTTTCTGAAAATTAAAGGAAAGGATATGGATCCTTGTATTTCTATAAATAAAATAAAATCCAGTGGAGAGCAGATGTCTCTCAGACTAGAGTACAAAAGGGCTCAATTCTAAGCTTTATTTTTGTTTAGCAGTAAGTACATGTTCTTTATAAGCTAACTCTTGACACTCGTTCAGCAGCCCCAGCCATATGCAGGAGAGTTCAACAGAAGCTTTTGAAAAGACTTAATTAAATCTTGCAGAAGCTGGGTGAAACAAAGATGGTTAACTCCTCTATGTCTATTATCATGCTGCTGTCTGTCTTCCTCTCTCCCATCCTCCTCTTCAGCTCTGGCAGCTCCTCTCCATTGTGTAAGCCCGGGGTCTCGGGAGGGCTCCCACCCTGCCTGGTGGCACCGGGAGCCTGCAGCAGGGACACGGCACACAGGCAGGTAGGCATTACACAGCCGCAAGACTGCCCTCGTTTCTCACACCGATCTGACCCAGTTTGGAGCCTTCCACCAAGGGGAATTACACAACAGGGCCAGATTGTAGCTGTCGCTACTGTTTTATGGCCGAGTTATTCCAACCTGCCCCATCTCTTGCCTTTGCACACACAGGTGCACCGTACTCAACGTTTAATCACTGTAGGAAGGGCACTTTGCGAGTTAAACAGATTACATTCAACTAATCAAAGTTACTGTTTGTCTGGACTTTCTGGCTGTCCCACATTATATCAACCCGCGAGCCTCCTGCTCTGCCACAAAAGAAGCTGCACCCCAAGCTGTATGCCATAAGGAGGGTTACCAGCACCAAGAGACACAAACCAAACCTGCTACACCACCGTTTACAACAGAAAGTCAGAAGTCCATACAGTACCATGCCCAATTCAGCAGGTGGTGAGGCCACTGAGAAAAATGGGGTGAGGTATCAGGTGAACACATTTTGAAAAATTCCTCTTGCTTACTCAGGGAGGAGAAAAGAGCTGTCATGTTTATCCTACCCAGGAAGTTAAACCCTGCAATCAACTGCACATCAAATTAACATCCAAGACAGCTTCTCTCATGTATTATGTCCTGTCTTTCAACAAAGATAAAAATAGTTCTGAAGTTTTTTGGGCTTTGCTTTTTTAAGGTAGAACATTTCAGATAGTAAGTAAATGCCATGTGGTGATGACTGCCTCCTCCTCAGCCTGCACAGAAAAGAGACTCAGTTCTGGATGAGAAAAACTTCAAGGGCTTGCAAATTTGGACACGTTTCTATTGTCCTCGTGTTTTTCTTTCACTCCACAAAGGTTTAAAATCACCATTTATTTCTTATGTATGAAGTTGAGAGAAAAATGTGAAAGCGAACTTCTTCCCCTCCAAAGTGATAGTTTTTTACCACAGGGTCATGCACGCCATGAGCCAAACTATTAAGTGCAACAGCAGCATCATGGGATGTGGTGACTTCGCCCATTTCTGTACAAAATCATCACTTTCATCAAAGGACTCATCAGCACTATAAAAACTAAACTATTATTTAATTAACTATTACAAATACAAACAAGTAAAAAGGAAGGATGCAGGACAGGGCAGACTGAAGTCCTTCCCCACCTGAGCAAGGAGGAGCAGGATTCCCCTGTACCTCCAGGAAGTCACAGAAGCCAAAGTGGCTTTACAGAAACTCTTTTTCTGTTACGACACAAGTGATCTAGGCACAGGACATGCTCATTCCTGAGTATACACCCATCCCATACAAATCCCCTCGGAAAGGGCAGGTTTAACACTAATGCTACTATGGTGCTCAATAGTAAAGAGGATTCCATCACCTCCCCAGCCTCCAGCCAAGCCCAATATCTGGGACTCATCAAGATTTGTCCCTTAAAGCTTGTTTTGTAACCAAGACTTCACATTGGTCATTGTGGTGCCTGGCCATAGAAACAGGATCAAGCATGCTGGCAAATCACAAGAGGATTTGCACACAGTTTAACAAAACCAGGTATTTCAAAGTCAGTGCTGCATAACACTCTTCCGTCTCTTCTACACACTCATGTTTAATAGTAACTTCCTTTATCTTTTTTGTTTCACAGCAAAAAAGCAAAATGGTTGGCTGGGGCCATAAGATTCCTCTCACACATGCAGCTCACACACAAACACTTCAAACTGGATGCATATGAAGGTAACTGGTGGCTCGTTGGGAGAAATCTCATCTTTTTGCTAGATTGTGGCTAGTGCAGTTTTGGTACCTTACAGGTAGCCTTCAGTAATTAATAGAAAGTTATTATAAAGCACACAGATGGATCACTGAAGAAGTCATGAGCTTAAGCTTCTCTGTATGATAAAAAAATCTTGTATCAGTTTGCAAGTAATAACCTGCACTGTTATTGCAAAATAGCAGTGAATACTTTTCTGTTCAATTTAAAACTCTAATAAGAAATAAACCTGAGATCAGTGGGTTTGGACAGTTTGATTCTAACAAACATTAGAACTTCTCTAATTTATGTTATGTAACACACTAACATCTCTATTTTACATTATCATGAAAAAATGGCAGGGGAGGGAGGAATCACTTAAAGGGATAAATATTTTCTCAAAAAAGAGCCAACAGTGTTACTGACCAATACTAACCTAGTAGGTCCCCTATAAGTTCTTGACAAAGCAAACTTAAGTGTTTACTGAAAAATCAACAGGAACTTCTTTCTCCCAATGACATTCCCCACAAATTGCTTTTAAAGCCACCCTTAATTGATTACTTCGTGATTTAAATCTCTTCTTCCTTTGCAGTCTGAGAATGTTAAGACTCAAGCAATACAGCTTTTCAGCTGTGACTCATGGATAACTGGTGGCCACACACTGCTAGCTGGGAAGGGAGAAAACAATTCTCCTCCTTCATTTCCTCTTGTTCAAATCACAACAAAACTAAGTGGCATTGATTCCCTCTCTGATGTGTTTACTACAGGAATATTAAACTGAAGAAAAGCAGCAGTCTGTAAAATCATATACTGGAGAGCATCTGCTTGTCTTGGACCACCCTTCTGAGGAAGGCAAGCGTGTTTCTCTCCATCCCACATAAACATAGGCACAACACATCTAGTCTTTTCCACATTTGATGCAAGTATTAAGGAGCCCACTGTGATTTGTGGGGAACAGGAATTGAGAGAAAAAAAAAAAAAGTGCTTTAAAAAACACTTCCATATATCAATTTTAGGAGAGTTGTAGGATCTGCTCTTTTATTCTCTCTAGGTTAGCAATCTCCTTCCTAAAAGGCACCACAATACTAAAACCAGTCTGAAACTGGTTGTTCCCTGACAACAAAAACAACAAAAGCTGCCACAAGAAGGGGTGGGAGAAAGCAAAAAAACCCCACAACCAACTAACACAAACCCATAAAGAAAGAAAAGGGAGAGTTAATCCTTCCCCTCTGCTGACATGACAGTGCTGGAATAGAGAACGTGACAATGAACATTACATAAGGCCTGGCTCCCACTGCGATCCCGAACAAAAAGAGCTAGCACGAGTCAATGGCAGCATCTGCAGATCATTACACAACCTGGACTGGTGGCAGTGGCACACACCAGCATCATTCATCAACTGCTGCAGGAACCTCCTGCCACGGGGTCCTTTCTCTCCTGCACTTCAGAAGGGATGCTGAGAGTGTCAACATTCTGTAACCTCTAAAGAAAAAACCTGAATACTCTTTGTAGGATGTCAGCACTCACTTCCACAGAAACTTTGTAAGGCACTGACAAGCTCTTTATCTCTGGACAGAGCCAGCAGAAATGGGCTAACTATTTTTGTGTTTGCATATATGTATACATACAATTATTTGCCTAAACAATGTTGCATTGCTTTTAAAAGCAATTTTATTTAATTGTATTGAAATATAAATTGGCTTCCTGTAAATCAGCTCTTTCCTTTGAAATACTCAGAATGTCCTCACCATGAACCACCCTATCTAGAAGAGCAGTTTGTTTTGTGCTGTATAAAAGTTCAGGCTATCTGAGGTAAGAAGCATGTGACCAGTTTTGCTTCCAGTAATTACTGATATTCACTTGAATTAACACCATCACAATCAACAAAAATTTTGCCTCTTACTTCACAGAATCTCTATTTATGTTTTTAGCTCTGGCAACTTTTGTATAAATGGCACTTGCATTCTCTGATGAAGAAAATGTTGAGAAAAGGAAACTTTCTTTCCTTGATCACTGTTTCTGCTTTCAAAGCAAACAGCGTTCCAACGCAAAAGCCACTTTCCAGTGTGCTTTTACAGGTTTTGCCCATGGTGCTATAGCTATAGAAAAGCAATCAGTGGAGAGGAGTAAAATCCCGAGAAGTTTTCAAATGGTGGGGAAGACTCAGTAGTAGGGCATAGCCTGTCAGGATTCCAAATTATATTCAATATATTTTAGATAGCTGATTAAGTTGGGGAAAATTTTCCTATGCTGTATTAACGATAATCATTCTCAAATTCCAAAAGATAGATTTTAAAATCTCAGGGGAGAGGTATGCCAAGCTTTCCCTTTGTGAGTACCAAAACTATGTCAAGGTGTGAGCCAATTCCCAGAAGTAAGGAAGATCCAGGTAACTGAAACATGCCTCCAGGAGTTTAAGCTCTTGTTATACATAGGTGCCAGAGAAGAAGTTATGTAATAAATCAAGAATAAATTACATAAACAGAGGCAGTGGAACAGAGAGGAGTGAAAAGACAAAGAGCTAATCCCCTCTCAAGTACAGATCAGTCACTGTCACTCTGTGAAGACAAGCTATGACTTTGGTCATTGAGATATGCTAACATTATGTCTTACCTCCTTGAAGAGCATCCCACAGAAACATTCTGATATAGCTCATAAACAATGTTTTCATCTTTCAGAATGAGGAAAATTGCATGTTTTCCCAGTGCTGAAAGGCCTAGTTGATCTATCCTGTTTCCTCAGTATTGCTCCATCCACACACTCTTCTTTCTTTGCCTCACAGAGAATCACATTTCATTACAGGGGAATGATTCAGCGCCTTTAACTGTGCTCAGGAAACAAGCTTTCCCATCAGCAGCGGTCCAGGACAACCCACCATCCCCTATGAGACAGACGCCAGTCACATTGCACACTGTCATCAACAGATCACAAAGCAAACACAACTTAACTCTTACTCTGGTCATATGTCTGCATTTCACTACAAAGAGTTGCAGATGACTGGGAGTTTGTTTTTGATGTCTCATCTTTATTCCTCTTCAGAACTGGACTTAAAAACCTGGGGTTTTGGTCTACACAGTTTTTAGAAAAAAGAAGAATTCAGCATGTTTTTTTTCCCTCTTCATTCCCTACCCCACCTCCAGCAATGATAATTACACTAGCGACAAGAAAGCATTACTTATGCCACCTACAGTTTACCAAAGAAACTTGAACACAAGCAAAAAAAGAAAGAAGAAAACCAAAAAATCCTGAAGTAGGAGGAAATTGAAATAAACAGTTTTGAACTTGCATGATATGAAGATGACAATTAGCATATGTTAGATCCAA